GTTAGTTAAAAATCAAGATGTTTTTCCAAAAATTAACGTTATTCTACTTTTTTTTCTTTGGGTAAATTGCTGAGTGGAGTTCTTTTGCCTTTTTTTTTTTTTTATGCTATTTTCTTCTGAACCAAGAATTAGTGGTGGTTTCTATGCTTTATATAAGTATTAGGTGTTAGAGAAAGATAAATATTGAGCTAAAGGATAGCCTTAGGATGATCTAGCCAAATTCTTGTTCCTCCTTTCTTTCATGTTCAGAGGTTATTTTCAATAGATTATTTTTCTTTTCCAAATTGTGTACTATTTGACTTTTCCCATGTTTCACAAAAAGTAATTGGTAAGCGTATCTTAGAATCGTTAGGATTGAGTTATCTCCGAGACACCACTATGTGTCACAGCCACAATCTACATGTCTGATTTTTCTGTGAAAGACCTTAAGTGTGTTTTCATATTTATTTTTAACCAAACTCTGTTCACTGATTTATTTATTTATTTAATGTAAAGTGAAAGTTGATAGCATCACCACTGCTGGGCCATTGTGTGTTTGTGGTACCCATTATCATCCTGTCCAGAGACAGGAATTACCAGTAACAGTGCTTCCTCTCTCTGGTGGGAGAGTGGAGGACCGTATCATGGCTGATGTGGACCAGCCATGCCACCCAGACTGCAGGGGAGCGGACAATACTGGAAGTTGTAAATACAAGGTCCCACTGCAGTATTTGCAAGTTGAATTATTTTTGCTTTCTGTAAAATTTTTCTAGGCTATGATCAGTTTGTCAGTAATGTTACTTTTCATACCCCCGTGGCACACAAAAAAGTACTCTGGTAAAATTAATTTTTGAAATGATGTTTTGTCATTCAAGAAGAATAGTATTTATAAAAGGCTGGTAAGTAATCTTTCCCTGAACTGTGTAGTGAATGAACTTGACAGTGGACTTTTTCAAGTGAAAATGAAATGTTTGAGAAGAGTAATTAAACTGTTGCAAGCTATGGGGAGGCAAGGGAGTGAGTACTTGCAGAGTATTAAAAGTTGAAGAATAATCATTGATGAGTCAGGGAGGAAAGCAATCATAGAATCATAAAATTATTTAGGTTACCTAAATTGGTTTAATAATCACCTAACCCTTTTCTCATCCCTCAAATAATTGACAACCAATTCCAACTGATTCAAATTTAAATTTGGCCAAGACAGACCAACCTTTAATAACCTTGGGTCAGAATTATGAAATATATGTGTGCTTTGAACTTGACCCAGAAAATTACTTAATGCAAAAATAAACAGCTCTAATACTGTTTTTTGGAAAGTATTATAAATGAAAATTCAGCATTTGGACGTACTGATGGGATTGGTAATAACTAATACACCATCCTGTGAGGATACACTTTGGAGATCCTTTTGGCTACCAATGGAAGATATGCTGAATCTCCAAAAACTTTATTCAGTAACTGACTATTATGGTAAAATAAAGCTCAATCAGCAATAGCTGTGTTTTAGGAGAAACAATATTGTCTGGTACGTTTCTCTCTCACTCCATGTTCTCCTTAAATTTATACCACAAAGTAGTATGGGCCACAATTATTAAAATGCATACTTTTCTTTCTCCAAGCTGCTTTTAAAAGACAGAATTATCAATTTTCATGGCAAGTCAGATGAAATTCTTTTACCAACCACAAAGTTTTTAAGTGTTTCATTTTAGGAAGGTTGCTTAGGAAGGTCTTCTGCACAAATAAAAATTATGGTATTACATTTAAAGATAAGTTTGGCTGCTTTATATGCAAAAATATTTTTAAAAGTAAGTGTTTTTAAATTCTTGATGCTATTGGGAGACAGTACCAATTTCAGCGTAATAAAGAAAGGACATTTTCTTTGGGGTGCTGTTCAAGTGTCTCTGATTTTAATACTGCTCCTGTTGGTAAGGTGTGTGAGGATGAGCGTGGGGGTCAGGGCGCAGATCTTCGCAGGTGATGGCTGCCTGCAGCAGACCTCCCACATCCTCCACATCACACTTGAGAAGTCCCTAAGAACATGGTGGGATGCAGGATGACCCAGTTGACCAGACCTCCTTTAAGAGGTGGTGAGCCATTTTAGAGCTTGTATTACCAACATAACTATTAATTAGCTTTTCAGAAGTAAAAATGTTAGTATTCAGTCTTGAGCCCTGAATAAGCTGAAATAAGGTTAGGGATGTAACTAACTTTAGTACTGTGTCCAGTTTTGGGCCCCTTACCACAAAAAAGACATTGAGATGCTGGAGTGGGTCCAGAGAAGGGCAACGAAGCTGGTGAGGGGTCTGGAGAACAAGTCTTATGAGGAGAGGCTGAGGCAGCTGGGGTTGTTCAGCCTGGAGAAAAGGAGGCTGAGGGGAGACCTTATTGGTCTCTACAATTACCTGAAAGAAGATTATAGAGAGGGAGGGATTGGCCTCTCTCCCAAGTCACTGGCGATAGGACAAGAGGAAATGGTCTCAAGTTGCGCCAGGGGAGGTTGGGATTGGATGTTGGGAAAAATTTTTGCACTGAGAGGGTTATCAAGCTTTGGAATAGGCTGCCCAGGGAAGTGGTTGAAGCACCATCCCTGGAGGTATTTAAAAGATGGGTAGACATAGTGCTTGGAGACATGGTTTAGTGATGTTTTTTTATCAGAGTTTGGTTGATGGTTGGACGGGATGATTTTAAAGGTCAATTCCAAGGTAGACAATTCTATGATTCTAAAAGTATTGGAAGTAGAGGAGAAAAAGAATAAATTTTTGGGGAGCATTGTGGGAAAAGGAGATGGAATTTGTTTGGAAGTGGCAGTGGGTGGCATGGCCAGAGTTAGGTGAGTGAAGCTTCAAGAGGCGCTCTGGAATAGGGAAGATTAGATTTAGGAGGAACTGGGAAAAAGAAGTAAAGCCAGGGGCTTTGGGGAGAGGAGTTTGGGGCGGGAAGACTAGAGAGGTGGGAGGTTCTATGGCAAAAAAGACCCTGAGTCAAGATCAGCTTTAGCTGCCAGAGGCCATTTCCCTCTCCCAGACATATACATGGTTTTGAAATACCTTTGCCTGGCTTTTTGCCTTTGTAAAGCCCTATATTTCAAGTTCAGGGACCTGAACTTAAAAGAACAAACACCGAAAAAACTTTAAGATTCTGATTTTTCGTAAATTGTGAAGTTAACAAACCCAGCATTTGTATTCTGTCCTTGCTTCTCTCTTTCCCCACCCCTCCAATAAAGAAAGGCTGTGGAGTGTAATTAAGAGCTGTAGCTGGGACAGCTTTTATGCTTTCCTTTTACAGACTCGTTTTGGGGCACGTTGATTTATGTGTGTCCTGGAGTGTAAGTTCCCACACCAGGCTAAGATACAGCTGAGAACCTCTTGTAACAAAAGCTCTAGTAGAACTGGGTCAAACACATTAAAATAAATGCATTAGAGATATAAAACAGTAAAAAAGATAATAATTAAAAATAATCTAATACTAAAAATCTAATAGTCTGCAGACAATTAGGTGCAAAGTACTCTTGTTAATATTGAGCAAACTAATGAGTTTTTTTGCGTTATCATCATGCATTTTTTCATTTCAGGTATGAAGGAAGTGTGTGGGCAAAGATACGCCCATACTTGCACTTTACAACATGAGCTGTGAGATAAGGCACAGAAATAGTTGTTGGTGGCTTCCTATGCCAAAATTTGAGCCCTCCTGTATTAATGTATGACACAGGAACTCTCTGATAAGACATTTTTTCACTTTATTGAGATGGGTACTTTGAAGTAAGTTTAGTCTAACTGTATCCATAGAGTGGAGCTGTGACAGTTGGCATGGTGAGGGTCAACTAGAATCTTCACTGAAAGTTAATTTTTATCCCTTCAAAAGCCAGTTTTCAAATCTTAAACTTTTAAGTAAAATAAGGCCACATAAAATAACACCACAACTGGTTGCTGAGAAACCTACAGTTCAAAGTAGGATTATGGGGTAAAATTTATTCATTAAACATAACTGGATAGACTGTGAAAAATACCTGAAGCATTTCTCCCTGGCTTTGGCCTAAAAATAGTCAAATCATTTTAGAGGAAATCTTGGGAGGTAGGAAAAAAAAAAAAGGAATCTTGTATGCAAGGTATCTGTTCAAATCTTGTTAAAAGAAAAAAAAAATAGTTTTCAATGCAGCCTCAGTTTCATAGCTGTGATAAGCTGCTTCTCCAAATAAAATGGTCATTTGTGTAACCCTATTTTTACACTTTGTCATGCAGATACATTTCCAGTGTATTTAAACAATAAGAGCAGGCATCAAAACAGATGAAAGAAAATGATGTATTTGTTTTCATTCTAATTTTTTAGCACTTCTGTGCAACTCACACTTTTTTTTGTTAAGCTCAAGCAGTTTTGCCTGCTGCCATTGTAAGTGTTACAAGGCTGCTTGGGAATATTTTAAACAGAAATCTTCTGAACACACAGGAAATATTCATTGTCAGTAATTTGTTAAATGATCAGGCTAGTAAAAATCTAACATATGATTAATCTGGGCGACAGGTAGTATTTCTTTCAATTGGCTTAACAAGTAGGACAAAACCCCCATTCAAAATGCATCCCCTTGGAAATGTGAGTGAATTACAGCAGAAATAGTTTTCTGATTGTGTACATTGCATGAAGGAATATTAAAAGCATTTGAAGGCACAGCTAAATCCTTCTGCGATTCAAACACTGCATTTAACATGAGTGGAATACTTAGTGCTATTTTAACATTTTATATCGTTTCCCAAGACTTGAATGGAATGTCTTTTTCCGACTCACAATAGTGTTTATTACTCAATTATTCAATGCTTACTACTATAATCATAAAATCTAAGCAAAAATCAGCATATTTTATGAAGCTTCTTGGTTTAGATAATAAACATTTTTCTTTTTAAAAAACACTATATTGGAATTTTTCTTTAAAAACACTATTGTTGGGAAGGGTTGTAATTACTATGTATTCTAATCATTGATCTACTATGTTTTCAGTGTCCAGCTACAGGAATTCATGTTTGTCCTACCTTGTAGTTGAATGAAAGCTGTCCCTCGATAGAGGGAGTGTCTGCTTGCCAGCTGTCACCGAAAGTCCCTGCTTTCTGAAGTCAGAGGTGCTCCTCTTGCTGCAGTCATGATTCACAGGAGTGCTCAGCAGGCATTTCAGAAGAGTTAGAAGGAGGCAGCCCTCTCATTCAAAAACCCTTTTTTGGTGGCTTTTGGACTTTTTAACTTATTGAAAAGCTGAGTTGAATCATATGCTGGCTACTGACTGACGGGTCTGCCTTCTGATTCAGTTCCAGGAGAGAATAATTTTTTGTTTCCCAGAAGAAAATGTCTCTGTATGAGAGGTGGAAGGGGATTGGGGATTCTCACTCATTTAACCCCCGTGTTCTTATTTATCTGTGTTAAAGAGGAGCGTGAAATTTATTTGACATGTCTCTCTAATGGGACGGGCTTTTTTGGAGAGTAGAAAACGAATTCCTTTATGTTCTGTAACCAATAAAAATTGCTTCTTAGGAGAAAAAGTTACAGCATTTTCCCAAGTTTGTTACTCTATTCATATTCTTGCAGCAAAATGCAGATTTCAGAAGGGGGAGACAAGCTTCCTAGAAGATCTTACAAATGCCTTTGTGTCTGTTACCCATTTTTCTATTTCTGTGAATGTACAGGTCAGATATAATATCTCTGAATTTTTTCCATATTAAGGAATGATAGGTAAGTCCAAAATGTAAGTGTTTCCTGGAATCCAAGAGAATAATCTCAAGTCAAGATCTTTTCTTCCTTTCCATTACCACTTCTGAATCTATTAATTCAAGTGTTGGATTTGGATGATTTGGAAATTCCATCTTTTAAACGCTGGTTTCATGCCTGTGCTAGTCCCATACCAGACTTTTAAAGATGACTCTGTTGTGCTTTATTGAATACATATTTTATCTCTTGGTTTGTTTTTTTTTGTTTTGTTGATATATCTCTTATGCTGATACTTACATTCAGCATAAACAGTTCTGTCTTATCAAAGGAAGAAAACCTTGCTTTTGGAGTGTATTCAGTCACTGCCATAGCCCTTGGGAGAAACAAAAAAAAAGATTAGAAAGCTAAGTATAAATCCTGAAGATGACAGTACAGGGTGTGAATTATCATCGTATCCCTTGGTTGAGGCAGATTAATCTTTTTTTACAGTCACTGTTTCATTTTGACATTTTTCTGATGTGAGACTTGTAACTACATCTTGAGTGCTTCTTAAACACCATGAATTACGTTATTGTGCCATTTCAAAATGCAGTATCAGAAAAGATAAATACTTTTGTTAATTTATATAGACTACTCTAGTAGTCATGTTCCCTGCCCTTAGTTGCAGAGATATTTCAAACCATTTTTCAAACTGTAGTGCAAAATACTTCACAATTTAGATATCAAAATTATAATTGGCTCCATTGCCTTGAATTGTATCTGCAACAAGATGGCAAATACATTTTACTTCTGATTCTTTTCTCCATGTATTTAAAAGACAGGTGGACACAGTGCTTAGCGATATGGTTTATTGATGGTTTTTGTCAGTGTTACGTTAATGGCTGGACTCAATGATCTGAAAGGTCCCTTCCAACCTAGACAATTCTTTGATTCTATGTAGTTAAAGTCTTGTGAGACTAGTTTGTCTACAGCTTTTGAGCTTCCTGTTGTATTCGTTGAGAGCTGCTTATCTGCCCGATTTAGTTGTTTAATATGTATCTGTCCACTCTAAGGATGAGCAAGTTTCTGAGATAATATTAATTTCATTCAGATTGCAACTCAGTTATGGCTCTAAACCTGAAATGAAAATAATTTGTCTGAAATTTTAATGTAGTGCCATAGAGAAGACTAAGTGGGAATACCAGTGTTAGGGTATTGCTGCTCTGGAGGCAGTGATCCCATTCATTTCTATTGCATTGTTGACAGTGACTTCAGGAGAGACAAGCGTTCCACTGAACTGCAGAACTTCTCTACGTTTAGAGGGACAAGCCTATTAGAAGGCACGTCTCTTTCCAGGTGATCATGCTTTTTTTTGCTGTACCTTTTATCACCCTTCAGGGACTGGGCTTGACATGCAGAAGGGCAGAACAGCAGGGCATAGTACAAGTGAATACTGTGTGAATACTATATACAAGTGAGTACAGTTTATAAATAGTTTAGAAGAAACAAAGGAATTGTCAAGGAAAGGGGCACCCTCAATTACTGGATGTATGTGCTGCAGCATCACACTGTTTCAAGAAACTTGGGATTGTTGTAGGATGGGGATAACAAGATACTAGTATCTCATAGGAATCTGATGAATGTTCATAAATGTTTGTAAAACTCTCAGATGACTTGATGGGTGGTAATGCTGACAGTCATGAGAAAGCCAATATTAATAAATATGTGTGCAAAGTATATGCAAGTCAGTTACATTATTTTTCTGGAACTTTAGTCTCAGCAGTTTGCTTCACATAATGGATGGATAACTTGATTTTTATGATAGATCTTATACAGTTCCTGCCCTGTATTTATTGAGCTGGCCCTTTAACATGTGTCTGAAATTCCTTAATGCATCTCTTTAAATTCACAGTTTAGGACTGCAGTATCCATAGCCTCGAGTGGTAAGTGTTGCAAAAGTGCTGAGACAGACAGGCATTGGCAGCAGGTTGGCTATCGGTCTCCATAATATCATTTTTGTACATGTGGGCCTGAATTCAGTCTTTGTCAGTTCTGATTTCTGTTTGAATTGCACTTGGCCTTTCACTTCTACTTGGCCATTCACTTATCACTGCTGGGTAATAAACATGGCTGGGGTGAGGACAGGATAAACCATCATTCCTTTGCAGTAGATCATTGCTTCTTCCCCTCTCCCTTCATATTTTCCTAGTCCCACTTTCCCATATCTATTTCTTAAAAATTTCTACCCTAGTTCTCCACAAGATGTGTCATTTCTTGGGAGACCCTTGTTCCTCTCCAGAATACTAAGGTAGCTGAGAATTGAGGTCATTGCTGTCAGCTGTGGCTCCTTCTCCGCTGGGGAAAGGAATTGCGGGCGAGGTCTTCTTTGTGCTAAGGAGAGTTGGAACAGAGTGCGTTGAGTTTCTAGGCCGGAATAATGAATTATGTAATCCTGCTGGCACGGCAGGGCCATGTGGGAATAGAAAATGCATAGGAAGGATGGAATCTTTGAAGAATTTTACTGCCTAAATCCATAATGCAAATTTCAGAAGTGTGTATTTTAGATTGTTGCTGAAATGTAAAAGAAGAGCACTTCAGCTCCAGGAGACAGCCTGTGCTGTTACATAAATTTCAAGGACCTATATTACAAAAGTAAGAGTTTCTTATTAATGTGATTTATAGGTGGTGGTGGTGGTTGTGATGATGATGTGCGAGTAAAACAACTTTTTGTTGTTCTTTGCATTCATGGCAGTAGCCAAACCATTTTCCTGAAAATCTCTACAAATAAAATTTTTTCAAAAGGTAAAGAAATTGATCGTGAGGCAGCCATCTGGTGTGGAAAATTCTGACTGAATGGTAGAAGTTTAGCAGTCACTCAGTTCAGGAGAGGAAATGCCAACCCACTCTAGCTTTATTTAGAGTGCTTTATCTATAGATCATTCTTTACATGCCTTTTTCACGCCTTTTTCACAGCAAAGGAAAACTTTGAAGGACAAATAGTTTTAATCCTGTTTACAGAGCTTGTTCTCAATGTAAACCAGACCTGGGTTCTTGTCTTAAATTACTTGTCATTGCAATACCTGTGGTACTACAAAAGACATACAAACTGACTTCATTGCAGTAAATCCTGCGTACAGCAAAGTATCACAGCTATATGACTTTTTAATAGGCTTTTATTAATCTTAAATCATGTTTTTGTGAACACTGTAGTCGCATATTTCTTTTCTGAAATCATACTCTACATTTAACCACTCATTTTCTATACTGCTTTAATTTAAATATGTCATTAGACCTTTTGATCAATATGATATCAGTGCCATAAAACACACAAAGTTAATGTTGAAATCTAATTTGAGTCCTCCTTTTTTCTGAATACCTAGTTACTAACCCTATTATAATGAATGTAATGGCTGTTAGTTTTGTTTCCATTAGAGGTGTAGAGAGGTCAGACTCTGCTGCTTATTGTAGAATAATAGGCTTTTGTCTGAGTTGTGTTGATCTGCTTTGGAAAATAAACTTTGCATTCAAAGTGAAATTTTCATTTGATTTGTTGGCACATTAATACATACTTTTGTACATCTTCAAACAATTTATGTAATTCATTCTTTTAGTCAGAAATCAATACAAATTTCAATGTAAATTACACATCAGTATAAAATACTTCAGTTGACTTTTGAGATATTTTGTTACTTGCTACATTGCTTACTTTTCTTTGTTAATGGCATTAAGTCACATTTGACTGTATCCCAGTTTTCAATAATGTGAATATATTTAGGGTTAAGGGGGTTTTTTCCCAACTAAGCATGAGTACACTAGCTACAATAGAGATTTGATCTTTCTTAGAAATTACCTTATGCATGATTTCAAGAATACATGTCTTCTGGATGAATACATGTCTTTTGTAGAAAACACAGAGAAAAAAAAAAAATATATAAAACCATTAAAATAATTATGTCTTTTCCCTGTGTTTTATTCAGTAAGTCATTTCAGACTAACTTTAAGAGTTAGTCTGAAAAAATAATATTTACAACTGCTTACTTTTTTTCTTGAACAAAAAATAGTTATTGAGCTGTTTTGCAGTAACCTTATCCCAAAGCTAACATTTATTTGTAACATCTCAGAAAGCCATGAAACAAATGCCATATTGATTTGCTAAACATGAATCATGATACATACATTCTTGGGTTTGTATGCTCTTTGTTTCAGTGGAGAAAGTGAGTCTTTATTTTTACACGAAAGTTAAAATGACATCTAAATAAAGAAGAGATTCTTTAATGTTCTCTTTTGTGGGAAGGAGAACTGGGTGTTTCTTCAAGAGTGGGAAAACTTGTGGTCTCTCAAAAGCTCTGGCTGCTATTTTGTCCTGAACTTCACTTTCTTATACTTAACTGACACTTCTTTCATCCGTACGCTTGAAGACTACAATCCCTTTCATCCATCAGATGCGGTCCTCCCGTATCTA